AAGAAAAGTTTTTTGTACAGAAATGCTTCAGCAAAATTACGCAATAAAATCCCCTGTAAAACTGTTCTTCTCGCACATTAACTAATAATGCAGAAAAAACAAATTTCCTTCCGTTGAGGGGACATATTTACCGTTTAAACAATTCTTTATAAATATAAAATTATACCGAAAATTTTTCGATGCTTTAAGAGCATGAAAAAACAGGCTAAATTCAGCAAAGATATGAATCAACTCAACAAAATATATTAAAAAGCAGACGACATTTTTGGAACTCTTTTTGATTGATGTGAATCGTCTGAATGGATGGAATTGTTAGTGTCGTGTATAATTAGAAATAGATATACATGTATACATTTTTTTATATTTTTAACGAGAATATAAAACGTATTTTCACTCTAACAAGTAAGGAAACTAATTATTTACAACTCTATAATAATGGGGGTAGGTATTTCTGAAAGATTATTCCTTATTCTTTGTTAGAATGTTAATTTAACAAAGCTGTCAATCATAAGAATTGAATAATTGAATGGAGAGGGGAGAGGCATGAATGATCTCATTTTCTTGTTTATGAAGTAGGCAACAGGATAAGCCTTTTTGATATGAATAGTAAGTATTCTTGAGATTTTCAAGTGTTAAGGGAGATAATTTTACTTGAATGTAAAGAAGCATATTTCATAAAGAAATTTCTCAACCTTTGTTCAATATAGGTGGTCAGTTTTCTTCCACTCTTACAAGTCATTTTGAGAAATTGTTGTTGCTGATTACTGCATTTCTATTACGAGTGTGAACTGAAACATGAAGAAAGAAAAAATTTTCTTCTTTCTTAAAATTTCATTAACAAATACTATGGTCAGACGTCAGCACTTTCTAATTTATTTTTTTTCTTTCTGCAAAATGAAGCTGACTTTCTTTTTTTTTAAACTCTTTTCGAATTACATCAAAACTAATATACACATTTTTTTTAAATTTCTTTATCAGTTAATTATCTTTATAATTTACAAAATACTAATTTCTATTTATGGGGATGAAACGTTTCAATATTAGGATAAAAATTAGAACACTTTTGTTGGCATAAAATATGCATTATTCGGCATATTCACAATAGGAATTTATGTATAGAAAATGTATGCAACATATAGTTAATATTAAATGCCTACACTTACAAATTATTTATTCATAATATTTTATTTAAATTGTTTGAAATTGTATTATCAACTACATTTTCCTTTAATTTCAGCTTATTTTGTATAAAACTGAACTCTTCTTTGAAATTAAACTTTATTTGAGTGAAATCTATGTTTCAAAGAAGTTACAAAACGAAACCTAGTATATTCTTTGGTAGAGAGGGATATACATCCACATAACAATGAAAATGATAAGCAATAGCGTCTAAACAGATTTTTATAAGTTTTAAAATTATTTCGAAATGTTTTGCAATTATTTTTATGATTTTAGAATGCAGTTATCGATAAAGATACGAATTCATCTAGTTTCATCAAATGCGAAGTTTTTTACCCTTGACATACTCTGAAATCCATACAGTTGGTAGATTAAGATAATTTGGGGTTTCAAAAATTTGCTGACGATTAAAAAAAAAAAGTATTATCTGAACAAAATTTCATCATAAGCAATTGAGGAAAGACAAATTCATTTCTTACAGCATTATTTTAATTTTCCAAAATCAAAGTCTTTAAAAATAATCACAACCCGTATCTGCGGAAGTTACGAGAAAAACTATTATTTTTTCTGAGGTAAGACCAAAATTTTAAAGTAATAATAATCGGAAAATTTTAAATTTTAATCAACAACTCATTTCTCACTCAATATTTTTCAAAATACGAGGTAGTTTCTCTTTCTCTTTTGTTATTATAATTATTTTCATTAAAATCATATTCCTTAAAAAAAATTATAACTCTATTACTACTCATTTATCAAGAATTATTATTAATAAGACGAATCTTAAGTTTTAGAGCAAAGAATGTAAGCGAAATGTTTGTCAATTCTGTATATGTATTTCATGCAAGAATTTTATAATCATCTGATTTGGGTTTTGCAGACGTCCGCTGTGAGACAACACAGATTTCAAAGAGTTTGCAATAGCGTCAAATAATGATAAAACAGATATAAGTCGACTGATTTCGATTTGTGTGGTCTGTGTTTTCCAGATTTAGGTGACGTCCAGATTTAGCGTTGTTTGACAGTACAGATTTCAAAATCTATGATAGAGTCAAATAATAAGTCGATTAGTTTCAATTTGTGATGACATTCAGTTTGAATGATAACTGTCATTATGAAGAACTGGGGAACGCACTTCAGTGGATGCTTGAAGCCCATTCACCTTCAGATTGGTGGGCACTAGCTGGCCATTGAAGTAAAAGTGACTTGTGCGCGATGCTGCCAATTGCCACAGGCATGCCGTTGGTCACGAAATTGGGGAGTCTCAACTTCCATGACTCTCAACAAGCTGTTGTGGGAATATCTTAAATATTAATATTATAATTTGCATTTATTTAGATATAAATTTATTCTCTTTTGATTACGTTAATTAGATCATGGAATAGCTATAACATCTCATTCCTTATTGAAGGATAAGGGGAAAATTTGGGAATTCAAATTATTTAAGTTTGTTAAAGCATGAAAAATCGAAGTTTTTAAAATATAATTTCACACAATTTTAAAAATAATTACAATTAGGAAAATTTGGGAAACTAAACTTTTAAAAACAGTTTCCTTGTCATAAATGAGCATTATAGATATAAACATTAAATATTAAGTGATTTGGTTCCAACTTTAACATTCGAATATTTTAAGATAAATTACTGGTAGAACATTTTTCTCTTTTTCTTTATTTAGCATTTTTCTGATCTCCCAATGATAACCCATTGCTGACTTATAATTAGATTCGAAATCATATTTGCTTTTTTGAAAGAATGAAAGCTAAATTAATGGTTAGAAATAGAAAATGAATCCACTTAGGGTAAACATAAATGCTCCATACGAAATCATTGATGATCAACATTATCAATAGAATGCTATTGTAGTTTTTATTTAAAAAAAAAAAAAAAATTATCGGTAAAAAAAAAACTTTTAATACTAAAACAGATACAGGCTTAAATAGATATAATTTATCAGCACCTGACTACCCAGTTAGAAAATTATTTAAGCTCGTAAAATTCATTCTTTATGATCCAAGTAAGTACCCTAGCATAGTTCCAGCAACTTTATCATTTAATTGTAACAGCGGCACAAATAAAAACAATTTCGTAATTGTTATCACAAAACCATTGTCAAGAAAATTCGATTAAGTGATAAAGAATACAAGCGTTATCTGACATCTTCATGTTATAGTAAGGTAGTGACTAGTGAAGTCAATTTTAAAATGATAAGAGAGTGATAAGACTCTTGATAATTATCACCCTGAGATCGCTAAGCCTGATCGAACCTGAACAACCATTTTATGAACAATCATTTTATATTATATATATATATAAGTAAAATCAAAAGTAAACTTAAACTATCTTTATCAACGAAGCTCCATGTTTGATCTAGTCGGTAAGACATCTGTTTTAATGCTGCAAACCAGCATGCTGATAAAACAAGAGCAAGAACCTAAAACGGAGGGAATTAATTCATCATCTTTTTCATTGACTATGATGATTGTCATTAGCATAACTGCTACTTGTTAGCTACTGAAAAGTAAAGTAGATACCAGTTCACTACAAGCTAGCTATGTTGTGATGAACTTAAACGCTAGAAGCAAATATGGGTTATTACTAGTTGCAAATACGGGTAGTAGTCTGGTAATAGCAAATATGGGTTATTACTAGTAGCAAACACGACAAATTCTTTTTAATATTTTAGTTATCTAAATTTAATTCTGATACTCTAATACGCAATATCACGATTTTTAATAGTTCAGTATAGCTGAATTGGTTTCTTAATGGTATTACATACTGAAATAGAACGACTAGTTTGGACATTTGTTTAAAAAGGAAGTAGGGAAAAAAAACATGTTATACAAAATTTTCTAAAAAACATTAAAGTTTTATAGCTAGTAATTTTAATAAAAGGGAAAATGGTTGCTACAAAAATTGACAAAATATCATAATAAAGTTAACTGAATATCTCGAATTTGTGAATATTTTCTTATTTATTTAGGTTCATTCAATGATTTTTCCTTCAAACTATACTCACACAAGCATAGTATGATTCAATTATATACAAATATCAGTATATTCAGTTATATACAGTTAGTCTAGCTTAGAAAATGAAATTATCTACTTACAATAGAAAATAAAATTAATTTTTTCTTTTATTTTGTGTTCAGGGCAGTGTCGAAATATTAGCAAAATAGGAGAGTATCTAGTTAGAATATGATTGTACTTTAACCTGTAAAATAATTTTATAATGCTTTTAAAAATTATATTCCCGGTCTTATTAATTAAAATTCTTTTCTTTTCATAGTTTTACAGATGAATAATTTTAGGCCCTATCGAAATAAAATCCTTGCTGTAATAAATATAAAACAACTTTCGACAGACAGTAAAAAAAGTATTAAGACTATTTAAAAATCTAACAAAACTTTTATCAGAAAAACTTTTCACCTCGAACATATTTTTCAATGAAATAAAATTTAAGTTATTGAAATTCATTCGTTCAATAAAGTTAACAACACAACTTTAGTAGATAAAATAATCAAAGTCCAACCAATAGTCGAAATAAAATAGAAAAAGTTATCTATAATCTATTAAATTGAAATAAAATTCCTTCTAATATATTCAAATAATGTCTCATTGATAATATCTTTCTCAAAAAAGAAAAATTATAATAAAAATTTAACTATTGACATAAAAATAATCATTTTGAAATAATTTTTTTATCTTTAACAACGTTTTGCGAGCTACATTTGATTTAAATCAATATAGTAAAATGAAAATATTTCTTAATAAAATAGATAATTACATTAAAATATTTTGAGCAAAATTGAATCAAAAACTTACCTATGCTGCAATGCGATCAAACCTAGGTAAATAATGTGGGCAACATCTAAATTAGTCGGCCACTCTCCGGTAGCTAGGCAACCAAAGATGCCGCAAGCTGTTTGCAGTTCAAAATCTTCATATTTAGACAAACTCATGTTAAATTATAGTTATTGACAGGCTAAACTATGCGCACATGTATAAACTTATTCAACGATTTGAGGTGGGCGCCAATATCAGCTCGAATAAAATCCACCACGTGATTTTACTACAAGGTCGCTTGTTTACGCTCAATCAGAAATATAACTCGCTGGTTGGCTGTAAAAGTTTTACTCTATCTGCTGATCAAACATGTATTCTTCCGCAAGGAAACAAGTTTTTACAAATTACTCAATTTAGCGCTCCATTTGAAAACTTTGTCAACAAACCCAGGCGTACAAATTGTCTGAATAACTAAAATTTTGTCAACTGCGTAGTATTCAAAATTCAAGTAAGTTTCTTGTAATCAATACTTAATTATGACTTCGTTTGTTTCATTTTTTATTTCTTTTTACCATTTAAATTTTTCTGAGAGAACCAAATGCTGTCTTGATGTGTGATATCAGTTTTTAAGTGCTTATTCAATTTAGATAACACTTTATCTCGTCCTCCGTAGATAAAAGCATTTTGAAATCAGTGATAACATTGAAATCATCTTATCTTATTTAGTCACTAAAGCATTTCATCATTCCAAAGGTATAAATCTTCAGTTGGAATTAAGATTCCTAATCATTATTTCTTTACCCTTTTCTGCTACTAATTTTATTTTTCAAAAATGGTTTACGGTAAGTTTTTTTTTAAACAAACAAAATCCAATTTTTTAAATTTTAAACATATCTAAAGGTTTTATACCACTTAAATGAGTCTAAACTATAATTTCACTTATTTGTCTTATCTTTATATTGCAGGGTGGAATCTAGTAATACTTTGATTAGAGATTTATTTCACCATTAGCTATAGCTTTTTTTTATTTAAATTTCTCCTAGCTTCATTTGATAACCTTTAAGCATAATCTGCCAGTGGTCAACTTTTTAACTTAAGCATTTTGAAATTATTTATACATTATTTTAACTGTTTATCTATAGTGGGAAAATTCCATCTTCGCTCAAATTTTTATATAATATCTAATCCCGACCCATTTTAATTCATTTAATTCCATTTATTTAAAAATTAAAAAAAGCGTTTTAAATTTCAATCATGATCAATTTGTTACCTTATGCATTTAAAAATAATTTTCATACACTAATTTAACTTGCTCAATTAACCTGCTTGACTAATTAATCTGCTCAATTGATGCAATATAGCTTTTTAATCATCAACTGGTTTGCTGAAGACTTTATGAAAGTGATATTACCGCACCAATTTATTCTTGATCTAAAATGAGCATTCGATTGGAAGCTTCTTGTGCAGTTTCATATTTCAAAACAGAAGAATTTCTAAAAATTTCAAAAGCTTTTGCTTAAAATTAAATGTTTACAAAAAAGCTTTTATTGCAAATGCAATTAAGACTTATTTGGTAATTTTAGTTTAGTTTATATCATTTAAAAATTTTATAGTGAATTTAAGAAGAAAAAAAAAAATTATAATTTAAACAGATACATACAGATGAACCGGAACTAATACTTATATGTATCTTAAAGAATATGGAAGCTATTTCAAATCATAAATGATAAACTAACAAGCAATTTATTTAAATTTTTACTAAGATGGAGAAAATAATCCAAATTACTGAACAGCACTCTGACTGCAAATTTTTTTTAAAAAAATAATGCACTTAATTTCACAAACATGTTTAATATTTTTAATATTGAACATTACAGAAATGACTAAACTACTTTAACTTGAATTACTTCCTGTGCTAATTAATTAGCCTATATTTATTAAGTTTAGGCTCTCAAGCCTGTAAGATTGTTATAGTAGTTCTTGAATTGCATCCATTGAAGAAAATTGAAATGTTTTTTGATACCTTGAATTAATATATCTCTACATTTTGGAATTTTAAAGCTATAATTTTGTCATACTTTTTCAAAGATTATCCGGAATTAGTTTGAATGATAGTTATAAAATTTTTGATATTATTTATATTGGTTTTTTCTAATTAACTATAAGTTGTAATTTATAATGAATGCCAAGATCATAATATGAAAATAAATGCATTACTATTTTATTTTTAGAAATGAAAGTAGGAGACCTTATAATTGAAGGCAAAACCAAGCAGATCTTCAATATTCTCAATGAGCCAGATAATGTCTTAATGATATCAAAAGATAGAATAACTGCTGGTGATGGAGCAAAAGCCCATGACATGGAAGGAAAATCGGTAATCTCGACTGCTACTACTGCCATGATCTTCAAATACCTAAATGAAATAGGTAGCCTGATTTTTCTTTTACAATATACTTTGTTGTGATTATTTTTAATTTTTATAACTAGTTTTTATTAAATTTTTAATATTTTAGGAATTAAAACTCACTTTATTAATCAACATGATGAGAAATCTTTGGTAGCCAAAAAATGCAGTATGATTCCCATTGAATGGGTTGCTCGACGCCATGCCACTGGCTCCTTTTTGCGAAGAAATCCAGGCGTGAAAGAAGGGTATCGCTTCTGCCCCTTAAAACTTGAGACATTCTACAAGGTAAGTTGTAGCCAGTTTATTACATTTATATGTATTTTGTGTGTGTGTAATGTAATATTAGAGTCTGTTGTAATATCGTGCATAATTTGTATTTATGTAAACCTGATTCAGAGAAAGGACTACATATGAACTGTGAAATATTCTCAGATTACTTGAAAAATTTTAAAGCAAGTACTTGACTATTTCAGAAATTTTAATTATTTCATTGCTTTTACTAAAGTAGCAGACAAACACACAAAGTTTTACTGTTGAAATATAATTTAGAAAAAATCTGTTAATTTATTTTTCTGGTTAAAATGTATTGAATTATTTTAAAATTAATCTAACAGTAGGAATTATCATCATGTTTTATGATCAAAGTAAAATATTCATGAAGTGATCAAAGTATTACCTTTATAATATGTGATAAAAGTCATTAAAAAAACTTCAAATTAATTAGTAGTTCTTGATTATCAAGAAGAAGCATACAAAATTTAGAGAAAGATAAGCAGATACTACACTAGGCTTTGCGCAGTTGTTTAGATATACTTCCTGTTCTTATCCTCGAAAAAACAAATCCCTTTGGCCCATATTATTAAAGTGAATACCTTTTTTTCTGATTTCTTTTCTAAAGACAGGCAACTAATTTTTTTTTTTTATTATTAAATTTCTAATGTTGTTTCTTTATGCAGCATTTGTTGCCCTTAGAGGCAACGAATTTTGCACTTGAATACCAAAGATTGATGCTTTAGTTTTTGACAATTGTGTCCACCAACTTAAAAAATAGAATTTTTATTTTTGCTATTGATTAATTGAACCTAAATGAAGGAATTTGCAAAGGCTCTCTATTTTTTTACAATTCTACTCTGATTGCCATAAAAGCTAATGAAAATATTCTCGGAGTGATGATTTTGTTGATGAAATACTTACGATAAAAATAATTTTTGATCTTTCAAAGTCAATTTTTATGCTGTGTTTTTGTTTATCTCATAATTTATTCTGTGTATAGTTATGTAATTTAATTGATTTTAATAGGATGATGCTAATCATGATCCTCAGTGGTCAGATGAACAATTGATTTGTGCCGAGTTAGTTGTTGGTGGTCTTAAAATTGGAAAATATGAAGTAAAAATAATGCACAAAACAACAGCCTGCATTTTTGAAGTTCTGGAAAAAGCTTGGGCTTCTTTAGGATGCAGTTTAATTGATATGAAAGTTGAATATGGAGTTACAACTAATGGTTAGTATTTTTTATTTATTATTAATGTTTTTTATTTATATTGTTTTCTTATCAGCTATTAATCTATCATGATATTTTAATCAATTTAGTGTTAAATATGCGTACATAATTTAAAGAATGCTACTATTATTACTTAAGTTCAACAAATAGTTTTAATTTTTGATGTTTATGATCTAATAACTGCATATTTAAGTAAAAACAGGGACATTAACGAGAACATGAAAAAGTCAGGGAATTTTATTATTTAGGGAAATGTCAGAAAATTTAATTAAAATAACCCTTTCAAATAACAGGGAATATTAATTTATATTCTCCTAATAACCCCCTACAAAAAAGCAGAGAAAATTAATTGAATTGAGGTAACTAAAACAGGGTTGCCACAGGTGACTAAAATGCGACTATTTGCAACTATTTTCTACCTGAAACAAGTATGGTTAATTATTTTGCCTGAAAAGGCTATAAAAACAACTATTTTCAGGAAAAGGAGAATTTTCTGTGCTCCTAGCAATGTCTTTTTAGCATAAATTAGGCTGACAATCTGCAGCCCACGGTAGCTTCTGAACATAATGAATTTTTCTTCTTCTAAAAAATATTAAATTGCAAATTTGAATCATCACTTTTTAATGCACTCAATTTGCACAGATTCCATTGTGAATCTATTTTGTTTCTTTAACAGTTATTACTACGAAACTCTGCATGATTTTAAAGAACCCAATTTTTAATATGATACTATGATGTGTGAATTTTAAATTTTAGCAATCACTTTTTCAATCTATATATATATATATTTTCTAAATAAATTATTGATAAAAGGAAAAATTATGTGAAAGAGAAAATTAATAGAAAGAGTATGTGTTTTTTTTAACAATAAATTATTTTTCTGCATTAATTCTAGCATTTAAAAGTATTTAATGTTCTGCGAATATGCTTATTTTTTTTACATAAAAATTTAGTGCTAGAACACTAACGTTTATTTCAAAATTATCATATTGGCCGTGAACTTGACAAAATGAATCATGGTATATTACAATGAAGTCATTTAATAAAATATTAGTCATATTATTGAAAAAATTTTGTTCTTATTTAGGCAACCATTTTCATAATTTTATGCGACTATTTTCATACTTTAGGCTACTAGAAGCAACTATTTTGTTCTTTTTTTCTGTGGCAACCATGTTAAAAAGTGTAATATTTTTTCCAAAAAATTAGTCTTTTAATTTTTAGAAGGAAAAAAATTTTTTTCACCAAATAAAGATATTTGCAATCTACTAAGTATTTAAAATATTTGTATTTTTCTTTACAGAATTCTTTGCATATGTTCCAAAATTGTTAGATAATTTGTTCCTGATTATCAGATTATGTTTTGTTTCTGAAATAAAATTATTGGTCTAGGATAGTTTAATAAATTATTGATTTTCAGATATGTGTCTATATTATTACAATTTGCCCATTCGTTAATGCTATAAATTGCGAATGCTGCTCAATAATTCTCTGTCATCTAAAATTCCCTTTTACCGTAACTAATTGTAAGTAATGTTGTAAAAAAGCTTTTTCTCATTGTATATTTTAGATATAATTTATTCCACATTTAACATTTTTAAAATATTGCGTTGTTTTGTTTTTATAAAGAAAGAACAATTTTTTTTAAACACACTTAATGAATTTATAAGTAATTGGGTGTCATCCATAATTTAGGTGAACTTGTATTAGGCGATGTTATTGATAGTGATTCATGGAGGTTATGGCCATCTGGAGATAAAAGACTTATGGTTGATAAGCAAGTCTATAGAAATTTGTCAACTGTAACACAGGAAGACTTAGATAAAGTTAAAAGAAACTTTCAATGGGTTGCTGAAAAAGTGAAGGTAACAATAAAATGAATAATTTTTTATTGAATTTTTCTATGATCTGCCAAAAGGTAATGTGACTAATTGGCATAATTTGATTTTAAGCATAATAATGGGCTTATTTGGATTTTTTTTTTCGCTAGAGATGAGTTTTTAATATTTTTAAATATTATGTTTAATATAATGATAATCATCAATAAAATAAAAATTCTACCAACAGTAACAGTTTAACTCCTCCATAAGAGCATTAAATTTCAGATTAGCAATGTCTCTCATTGATTGAAACATAAGTTATAACCTATTATATTTTTTAATACCTTCATTAAATTAAATAAGAAGAAAAGATAAGTAATTTATAGTAAAGCTCAAAACAGGTTTTTAAAAAATCTATCTTAAATGGAATCTAAGAAGTAGTGGTTTCTGTACTATAACATCTATCACTGTCAATACCAGATGTGTGATCAAGCTTAATACTGCAATAACATATGCAAGGCTTATTGTGCTCCCGAAAAGATCCGGATCTTTCGCTAACCGTGATCCAGCAGTTTCCGGAGATCGAATTCTTGTATGTTCTATTTAAAATGATTTAGAAGTAGGAATTTTATAATAAAACTTTCTTTCTTTTTTTTTAAAATTTTTTTTCCCAGTAGATACTTTGGAACTCCGTTTTCAAAGGTGGAACTTAAAAACACAGTTTATTTTATTTGTGTGTAAGTAAGAGCCAGATACTTTATAAGCTTATATTCAAGATTAATATTCATTTTTTGTCAGTAAATAGTTATTATAATCATAAACTCAAGAAAGAGAGAAATATTTGTAAATTTCAATTACTTCTCCAGGTCTTTCGTATCTATGTTTAAAATTTTAAATGTATTTTAAGTAAACTAAGAAATATTGAGAGAAAAGGAAAAAAAAACTTGTTTAAATTTCTTTCTAAGTTTCCAATTAAAACTGGTTTTTTTTTACTCAAGAAATTTTCCAGAATTTTGACTTGGGCTCACAATCACCCCTGCATATGCTAATTTATTTTTTTCATTAAAAAAGACATTTCTTTACTCTTAAAGAGATTTCACGAATGATATGTCTTTACTTTTAGCTAGGAAAGGCTTTACATTTATGGCTAAATTAAAAAATTTATTGTTATTTTAGGAATTTTTACCTTCTGCCAAAGGTCAAGTTGTAATTCTAATGGGATCTGCATCAGATAAGAGTCATTGTGCCAAAATTAAAGAAGCCTGTGATAAATTAAAAATTCCTACTATCTTGCGAGTAATGTCAGCACATAGAGGACCTGCTGCTTTATTAAATATCATCTCTGAATTTGAAGGTATAAACAATGCATTTAGTACGATTTTGCGTTGAATTCTGAATATGTTTTGTAACTTTGGTCTTTATTGTTGTATAAAACCTTAATCTTGATAATTTTTGTGAAATAATTAAATATTGAGTATTATTAACCCATAATGCTTAAGGTTTAATAAATGTTATTAACCCTTAAGCATTATGGGTATCTTCACTGAACTCGGAGCTCAGAAGAACTTCCATATTCTTTTCAGGAACAAGTTTTAAAATGTACTGTTAATCAATATTATATCAAATCAGTGATCAAAACTATCAATTAAATTGCTTTCCATTTTTGTACCTTTCTAAAAAAGAAAACTGAATAAGCTTTTTAAGTTTAATGATGAATGGTGCTCAAATTATTTATCCCGAAACATTAAGCATGTTACTATTTTGTCTAGAAATTTACAATCAACACTCCATATGTTGACCCCTGTTTTCCAAAGGAAAATTAGTGTTATAATGTAAGTCTTCTCTATTACCTTTGGAGGATATGTATTATTGAAAGTTAAATATAAGACAGAAACGAAATATATTTTCTTAATTGAAAGCTAATTAAGAATCTGTGAAAATAATCGATAATGTGACATTTGAGAGACTGACAATTGTGATCTGAGGAAAAGTAAGTGTTATAGTGAGGTTATTTTAAAATGAGTGTAAATACGCTAAAAATATTAACTTGTAGTTTTAAAAAAAAAAAAAAAAAAATTTAAAAAAACTTTTCTTAATTTTAACAAAATTATGTTTTACTTCAATAAGAATTTGGTGACTAACAGAAAAATTGCAGAAAGTGCAATTTTTTCTACATAATGTACATAAAAATATCCTTTAAGTAGTGTTTCATAAGTGAAAAATGACGTGCCGATCCTGGACTGCCATTTTCGATTAATAACTCCTAAGATAATTTCTAAAACCACATGTTTTAATTCTAAAATAAATCCTGCAAAGGGAGATGACATTTCATAAAAAGAGTGATTACAATTTTCAATCATGAAAAGTATGATCCATAAATTTACTGTTTGCCATTAAAATGAAAAAAGTTACTCAGATGAATGACCATAAATTAAGACCACTTAGAACTTAAGATCAAAATTTAATGGGTCATTTCTTTCGTTCAAAGAGAATTCAAATTGTTTTACATTAATTCTATGGTAACATTAAAAGAAATAATTTCTTTGAAACTTTTTCAAAATCAAATGACTGGCTATATTGGAATGAACAAGGGTCGCAAAAAAGCTGACCTTCTCTAAGAAAATCCGGACTGGCCGGGAATGTTACCATACAATTAATGTAAAACAATTTGAATTCTCTTTGAACGAAAGAAGGAAGAAATGACTCATTAAATTTTTATCTTAAGCTCTAAGTGGTCTCATCCAAAAAAAAAAAACCACTGGCAAATTCAAGAGTCATGTAAATATTATATATTTAAACTCAGATTAACTACCAAAAATGAGTAACATTTTATGAAAAGAGAGGATAAACTTTGCGAACAAGAAAATGTGATACATTCGACATACTCTTTGAAAAAAGAAGAAAAAATCAAAATATTAGAAGAATCCAGACTAAAGAACAATATGTACCTTTTATATCATACTCTTATTGTTCCTTACAACTATGCGATATCTTTTTTTTTGTTATTAATGATCTAACATAATTCCACATGCCTATTTGATAGTTATTAATCTCAGAATGCATGCTTAGTAATTGCAATTAGAAGTTAATGTATATGATGTCCATTTCTAAATTGAATTAAATAGTTCAAACTTGAAGAAGCAATTTTTTTACAAAATAAAGTGATAAATTGTTATTCCTTTATTTTTATTTTGGGAGTGGTCTTAACCCTATAAGTCCCCTATGTACGCCACTGCTTATGGAATAGATCTTATTCCATTGATTTCAAAAAAGCTTTACTCAGAAACAGATGGTATGTTGATGCAGTTGGCCTTATCAATTTGGAATCTTGTCATATTTTAGCTAGAGTAGCTCATTTGATCTCAAAGGACTGAAATAAATGTAAGGGAAAAAAAATTTATTTTATAAATCTAAGATTAACATTTTAAACAGCAGTTTGCAAGCAGTCTTTAATGTCAAATGTTAAACCTTATTTTTTTCACACGTGATTAAATATGTCTTTGGAAAAACCTGTTTAGTACAACTAAGAATTCTAATTACTTATATCAGTTTTGTAATTCTAAAATTTATAGTCTATATACTATTGCCAATGTGTTTATTTCGTAAATGTATAGCAATATAGCAGTATACTCTACTATATTCTAACAAGTCAATCAATTTTTGATGAAACTGATTTTCTTTCTTAACACTGCTGCACCTTTTTTTATTTGATGACTAATTAATTAATATCCTTTTTTATTCAAGGTCATGGTCAACCAACTGTATTCATAGCTGTTGCTGGCAGAAGTAATGGATTAGGTCCTGTTACATCAGGGAATACAATAGCTCCAGTAATTAATTGCCCACCCATTTCTTCTAACTGGGCTAGTGAAGATATTTGGTCTTCTCTTAGGTTGCCATCAGGTAAAAAAATTAATACAAAACTCCTGTCACTTATTTTTATTTTCATAATCTTTTGGTTAAACCTCATTACTTAAATTATTAGTCTTTAATTTTGCTGACTAAAGTCAGATGGCATTTTTGTTTTTTTGTGGGAGTAAAAATAGTTTCTTTTTTGGAAATTTTAATTACTGTTGTCCTTCAATTGTCTGAGGAATTGTAGCTAACCACTAATCAGCAAATTATATACATAATTCTCATAACATTTGCAGAAATATTTAGTTTGTATATATATTTTGTAGTGTTATTTGCAAAATTGGTTTTATTAATGACAATTATAGTTTATAGATTTTACTGAAAGAAATTACTAGGTGACCGTATTTGAATGTTTTTAGTGAGAAGAATATTCTGAAATTTAGAAAGCTTCTTACATTTTTTTTTTATTAGTAGCTTTCAGACAAGTTATAAAGGCGTAATATTTTTTTTTTATACAAAACCTGCAAAAGACTTAATAAATTTGTGATTATAGCAGGGTTTGAAAAAACCCAACCTGCCTGTGTTTTATTGAAAAAACCTGGGGGAAATTGGGTTTTTTGATTTAGTGCTCATAAATTTTAAGTTTTACTTAGCAAATATTTTTATTTATTAAAAAGTGTTGTATAAGCTTAAAACTAGAAATAAATCCAAAAAGTTATTTTAATTTTGTTATATGTATTTTATATTAAGTTTAAATAAGGCATTATCACTAATACATATTTGAATCTTCTTTATTGTTAAGTACATAGCGTTTCACAATTTTTAACCCAAGCATTATAATATATAAATGCAGTAATATAAAAGGAATAAGTTTATAAATCTTTTTGTTTCAACACATTTATTTACTATATTTAAACATATATATTACCCATTATAAAATTATAATCAGTAAAAACTAAAATTTCATCGACTTTTGACTTTAATAAAAAACTGAGATAGATATTTAATGGTTTACCATGGTTTTATATTAAGATTAATAGAAAGTGAAATTGAAATTATGCATAATTATAAAGAGTATCAGTTACTTCTCCATTATTTTCAAGTAATTAACCCTAAGAAAATGATTTCATTTTTAGATAAATAATTTTAAAAAGTTCTCTTATCGAAAGTTTTAGCTTATTTTTTTAAGGCTTGAAAATAAAATTGTTTAAATTTGTTGATGTATCACTTAGTTAAAAAAAAAAGTTTCTTTTCAATTTTTTTAAACATATGAATTAATAATAATAACCTGTTAATATATAAAGCATGCAACTATATTTGAAAAATTGATCTTTTCAGACTATTTTATTTAAATTTCTATTTGATTTAATTTCATTAAAATATTACTTTTTGAAAAAACCCACTTAAAGTTTTCAATACTACTATAAAATTATAGATTCGAGTTTCTTTTACTTTATAAATATTAAAAACATTATATTATTATATTATAAATCCTGCAACTCTATTTGACAGATTTATGCTGCACAATAAATTATATAAAATTAAATGTGCAACAATAAGTTTTAATTAAAAATTTTTTTTTTTTTTTTTTTTTTTGAAAAAAACCCATTTATCATTCCAAATGGGTTTTTTCAAGGCGGGCCCACCCAATAAAACCAGGGCGGGTTTTATGGATTTTTGCAATGTTGTGGTATCTCCTATCAAAAATAGTGATTTAAAAAAAATTGTACATTTTTGTCAAAGTTGTCAATTAAAATGTGTTCTAAGAAATTAATTTTATTCATCGATTTATTTTTCTTTAAAAAAAAATTTAGGTCTTGGATGCACTACAATATTATTACCAGATGGTGCTGCAATTGCTGCTGCCCAAATCTTAGCATTGAACGATCATGTCATCTGGTCTCGACTTAGAGCAAGGCAATTGAATGTGTGGGTTGCTATGCTACAGACTGATAAGGACATAGTATCTGAAGAATAGTGCACATTTTAGGGTGTTCTTTTTTTGTAAAAGAATCAAACATTTTAGTTGTCATTCCTAAATGTCTTTCAAATCAAAGTAATGTTTTTCTATATTCTATGGAAAACTCAAGCACCAGTAATTCCTAGTTCTATTCTTATACGGGTTTTTCTTAATCAGCATGCTAATATATATTTTAAGAATTCTTAAAATTTTCGAAAAAGTGTGCACAATAAGATACACAAATAAATTTTTCGATAAGAAAAAGGAAAACTTTAATAAATCTTTGATACGCAATGCAAAGTTTCGAAAAATCAGATTTTATTTGATGCCTGAAAAAAATTAGTAGATATAAAAAGCCACTATCAGAAACATCTCTAAGTTTTATCAGCCAAATTGGTTTTGATGTTTCTCAATAATGATTTGTAAGTATTGCAACCTTAAATATCTATTCTCATATGCTACAATATTTTAAATGTTGCTATATATATTTTTGAGACTGAAGAATTTTAAATGAATATTTTGTTCCATTTATAAAAAACAATAAAATATATTGATCATAGATCTAATGTGATCATTTACTGTAGATTTCTGTTTCATTTTTTTATTATATTAAATGCAAAATTTTTCAATTCTGTGTGATGTTGTCAATCTTTTTAAAATATTTTTATGGAACTATTGCCAAAATAAAAGTTATCAGTATAAATGGAATCCAACTTGGTTATCAGAGTGAACTGTAATCACTACCCTTATTATACATTTTTAAAAACCTTGACAAGAATGAAGTCAATATTATATACACATTAGATAACAGAACATTATTGAATGTAGAAGAAGAAAAAAATTTCAAATGTTTTTTCTTCTTTTTTGTTTTTTTTTTAAGATTGCGATGTTATCAAACTCTCAATTCAAAGTATAAAAAAGAAGTACATATAACATTGAAAAAATTAAGTTAAAAAATTTTTCAATTAATCAATACTAAGTTATTTATATTTTTATTTATTATATTTTTATTTATTATATTTTTATTTTTTAAATCATAATGCTTAAAATAAAAAAGGAAAAATATTTCTTATATTAATACTACGCTCAGTGCTCGGAAAAACTACATATTTTGTGTATTTTGCTACGACTACTTTGTTACAAATGTAACAAACTAAAACTTCTTTTAAATGTGTCTATAAACTACTTTCAAAATGTAGTAAATCATGTTTAAAATTGTTTTGGGGGAAAGAAAAAATTTGCTTTTATTCATGTTTACATGAGCAGATTGCTATTTTACAATTTTCCATGCCCTTCTTGACAGTGAATATTTAGTTCAAGAAATACTAAGAAATTATCAAATACTTACAATTTCATTGTGTTTAATGCTCTTTTCTTTTCCTTTAAGAAATTATTTACCTCGAAAATATGTTCCCTTCCTTTAAAATAACATCAATGTTTCATTCACATGTGAAAGTGTGATCAATGTGATAAATAATCTATAATTCAGAATAGTTAGATAATATGTGATTCTAAATGTGTAACTCTTGATAATGCTGAACTGCAGCCACTGGCTTCTTAATTTCGTCCATTGACGAACCCGCGAAGATTTGCACCTATCAAATTCGAAAAATTTGTTGCATTAGAACTTCCTTACTAAGCTAACGTTAAAGGTAGTTCCCAGAAATCACTGCGAAAAAATTTTACTACTGTAATTCAGGGCTGATTGTGCTCCAGAAAAAATCCAGAATTTTTGCTAATCATGATCCGGAGATCGAAGGTTCAGACGTTTCAAAAAATCGTTGATCACATAAGTTTCTGGGAATCAAATTTTCAAAGGTGAAACTTAAAAACACAGTTTATTTTATTTGTAAGGGAGAGCCAGATACTTTATAAGCTTATATTCAAGATTAATACTCATTTTTTATTAGTAAATAGTTATAATCATAAACTCAAGAAAAAAAGATATATTTGTGAATTTTAATTACTTCTCCAGGTCGACATAGGTATTTGTAAATGGTATAGGTATGTGTAAAACTTTAAATATATTTTAAGTAAACTATGAAATAGAAAAAGGGAAAAACCTTGTTTAAATTTTTTTCAATTTAAAAATTTTTTTTTTTTTTTTTTACTCGAGAAATTTTCCGGAATTTTGACTTGGGCTCACAATCACCCCTGGTAATTTCACTACTTGTAGTGCGCTACTTCCGACCGCTGACTACGCATGTTTCTTATTTATAATTAGGAAAGTATTCATTGCAATTTCCCAAACTGCCTATTAGTTAAAATCAGATTTTTTTTAAAAATTCAAATGTATTTAGATGTAAATCAGCTGAGTGATTCGCATAATACAATTTTTTATAAAAAAATATTCAATAAAATTTTCTATTCAATATGAGCTTGTTCAACAGAAGGGCCAGAATGACAGGCTTCACCAAGCTCAGCGCTGTACGCTAAAGGGTTAAAATAGTAATGGATTATTTGTACAAATTAGAATTTTTAGACTTAGGTTGTCAGAAAATTTAGGCTTCTAGGTAAAAGTCTTCTAGTGCTATGTTTTGTGCTGGATATCACAATGATACCTGCAATAAGTCACTACATCTAAAAATGTGTGTGGGATTTCTAGTAGATGTCGCAATATTCAAATATCTGTTCTCACATTGCAACTGTCATGCCTCCATGTTGTGATGGCGCTGTCATCAAGGTAGATGTTGTAAAAAGACAGAGGAGGGAACGCTCTGATGGAGAGCGGAAGCGAATTGTTTAGGTGGATTGGTTATATTAATTTTCTTCAAACTTCATTTTTTTTTCTTTGTTAATAAATATTTGTGTTGTTAACTGGTTACCATTTATTTGGCCAATTGTGATTTTGGGAAGTATCTGAGTGAAGAAGGGAAAAGGAGGAAA